AGTTCGTGCCCGCCTCTCCTAGCACGACGATGGCCTCGACCACTGCGGGAGCTTCCGGCATGGCCAGCGCGCGGGACTCGCGGCGGTGCCCGTCGTGCCCCCGGACCCGACCAGGTACAGAATCGGAGGCCCCGCGCACACGCACCTCCTGCGCGTCGTGTCGCAGGCCAGGCCGACGGCAGCCGTCGTCGCCTCGACGCCATCGTTCCTCGTAGCATCCCCTCGCGCTCCTCCCCTCTTCGCGTCTGCCTCCGTCTCCTAGGGGACGAAGCTCGGCGGGATCTCGAGTTCATTGCGGTGGTCGATGCGGCGGCGCGGCATCCTCCGTGTCCGCCATGTCCGCGGTCGAGCGCGGGCCCGCACTCCAGGTCCCAGGCTAGGTCCAGCGATTGAAACCGTGCCGCCGCCACAGAAGCCACGGTCGCACGCGCGCACATGCCCACCACCGCCTCCTCGTTGCAGGTGCTGCTCGTTCGCGGGCATGCCGGAGAGTCCCGAGCACCGCGCGCTCCCAACAGGGGACGGTGACGAGGGCTGCGTCAAGGGCTTCCTCGATGCCAGCCGCGCACGCCATGGTGAACGGCGGAATGCGGTGGCGGTTCCCATGTCGATGCTGCTCGCCATGGCGTAGTAGTCCAGGCGGTGTTGAAGCGGTTCGCCGAGTGCCGGCGGCGGCGGCGTGCATGGGGCAACAGCAGGGAGGGGCGAGAGTATAGGAAGGGAGCAGGGTCCACGTGAGTAAAAACGGTAGTTTTGTAGCCTGACGCAGCGACAACGATTAAAGTGTTATACGAGGAGTGGTCATTCGATATGACTTAAAAAGTTAAATCTCGGAGCGGTGGGACGATAGGAAGGAGCCATGGCGGCTTTGCTCAGCGTGTCGAGGGCGGCGGAGGGCGGGCAACACAGTCCAGACCACTGCGGCGTACAACTGGCCCACCTATGGAGATCCTAGGATGTGCCCTCGCCCCTGCGCGGGGGCATTTTTGGCATCGTCGGCCGTTCCCGTCGCTGTGCGTTCGGCCATCCCAAAATTAGCGACGGCGGCGTTGGCGGCCCTGCTGGTCTCGCTAGATGCATCAAATGTCAATTAGAATGGTTGCTTGGTCAGTTGATCTGATAGCACAGCAGAGTAAAGAGAATATTCCTTTATTATCTAATAAAAAGTAGCAGAGTATATGGATCCTGAGTCTTTTTTGCTCTATTTACTAAGGACCATGGCGCCGCGCACCAAGTACTAGTATTTAGTACTAATAAAGTAATACACTATAAGTCATTGACATGCAGCTTATCTTTTTTTCTTCTTCCGAAATTGTAAGTACTTCTGGTAACAGATCTACTAAAAAGAGCTTTTCCGTATGATAGTGGTCAAAGTTTAAGAATTTTACTGTATATGTACTTATATAGTTATATATGTACATGGTTCATGCTTAGGCCTTATCAGTGTCAGATGTAACATCTGGTTATATTTCTTGATATTTTCCGAGTTGACATTTTTTTGACATAACCTGTCTCATTAAATTCATTACTACTGCTCATAAGTCCTTCTGACTGCCCACCAGCATTGTAACTAATTGGGGAATTTGACATTATCTACTGTAGCATCGGGAAAGGAAATAACCTTGTCTGCAGAAGCACAGCAAATCATTTCTCTAAAGAACTATCCTACAGAAAGTGGAGATCAGATCTTAAACTTGCAGACCTCCCAGAGGTACGTGAATGTATCTTATTAGGGTTGGTGTTGAGATTTAAATTAAATTCCCAAACTTTGGGGCAATGCTAATGACATAGCGCTATTTTGCTGCAGGATGTACTACGCATAATATTTTCAAAACTCCAATACAGTGAGGTAGTCAGGACCAGTGTTCTGTCAAGTAAGTGGAGGCGTATGTGGATTATTTCTTCCAGACTAAGTCTTGATTGCACTGCAATACGTGGCCAGCGTCGTTACTTCCGTGACAAAAAAAAGATATACCCAACAATGCATTGACATTGTTAATACGGTAGTGCGCCAGTTTCATGGTGAGATGGTTGAAGAGCTTGATGTCAGAGTTGAATTTGATGATATGCTTGTTGGTCATCTGAATAATTGGATCAGTTTTGCTGTGTCGTGACCGTCTCTAACAAAGAATCTAGCATTGGATTTACTGCCAGCTGAATTCATTGGTAAGGATGATATGTATATCTTCCCCTTTGAACTTTTTGACAGTGCAAGCATATCACGGTTACAACATCTTCAGCTTAGTTGTGTATCCTTAAAACCAGGTTCCCAGTTTATGGGTTTCCAAAATCTGAAGAAGCTTGATCTGCAATTATTTTCTGTATCTAGAAAGAATCTTGAAGATATGTTAGCTGGTTGCTCTACTCTGACGTGGTTGAGCTTAAGTACATGTTGCATGAAAGATGAGCTAACGGTGAAAAAACCATTGGACCATTTAATGTACTTACGTATCGTGGATTGAAATATGACGAAAATAGAGTTACAAGCAGAAAATCTGAAGACTTTTGTATACCATGGAGCGCGAGTAACTATTGACCTTGGTCAAGTTAAGCAACTAGAGACAGCACAAGTTCATCTGAATGGTGCCACTCTTAACTATGCCATCACTGTGTGCTTCCAAACATTCTTACATGTGTAAAAAATTTCACTCTGGATACTTATCTACCTTTAGAGGTATGTTCTTGCAACACATCGCTAGTCTTAAGAGTCGTTATTAGTACCTCTTGAAGTTTGTTTTTGTCTAACCGTTTTCTTTCTTTCTTTCAGACGCCCTTATTGCTGGACAAAATTTGCATTTTTTCTCAGCTCAAAATTTTACGGTTGTTGCTCTTAATTGATACTAGAAGCACTCCTAATATTCTCTCATTGGCATCTTTCCTGAGAGCTTTCCCTTTCATCGAGGAACTGGAGGTGCATGTAAGTACCCTTCTGTGTTGATAGACGTGATCCCTTGTAAATGTATTTTTTCGGTAACTTTACCTTGCGATTTCCTTTTTCCTATTTCTTTATTACAACACTATGTAAATTCACCACAGATTATACTTTTGTTTTGTGTAGTACTATCTATATTATATTTTGCCCCATATAAGAATCCAACTAATTACTATTCAGATGCCTAGCATGCAACAGCATGGGCTACATAGTTTAATTCTTTTTTTGGGAACTATGCTGCTACAGGGGCCCAACTTGTCAGGATCTATGCTGGCATAACACATAGGCAGATAGTATATGCTAATTATGGAGATTTGGATCTGAGGTGGCATACTTGACAAGTTTAGGGACCCAAATCTGCATTCTGAGAGTTTGCACACATGTGACACTATGGAAACCTTTTAAGGACTGCTGGTGTACTTTATATTATTTAGATTATTATGCTTATAATAAACTTGTCACCAGTTGTTAGTTGGTTACCTAAGATTTGTACTTACAGTTGCAAAAACATGTCTCATTTCTATGTGGTTCCGCTAGAAAGGGTGAGAAGCAATTACAAAGTGTGAAATTAGCGGACATATAGCACTAATTTTCTCTGATTAAGTTGAAGATTTTGTCTGCCATTTAATTAGTGGAGATTTCATCATTTATGAAATACTTCCATCATTTACAAAGACTGAATGGACAAAAAAAATTGTACAGAACCTATGGTGACAGACTGACAGCTCAGAAGTGGGAATGCTTCTTTTTTTTTTGACATAGGAATTAGGGATCATATATAGCTTCATTGCAAATATGCTGATTATACATACTGTTGTATTGTTGTATGCAGTTTGATCTTCTTGATTTCTTCGAAGGTCCAGGATGGGGAACTTTACAGAGGCTTCCCGGCAGTTCATACAAGTATCTAAGGAACGCGCTTCTTACCGGGTTTAATTCGGTCAAGGGACAGCTTGAGTTCCTGGTACATATAGTGGAAAATGCTCCTGACCTGAAGGTTTTGACTATAGATCCGAGGAAGAAGCAGGTAGGTCGTTGTTTCCGTAGGGAGTCAGAATACGTAGATATGCGAGCTGCTGCCAGAAAGTACCTTGATGGAAAGATCTTGCCTAGCTAGCACGGAAGTCCACATTCTTTAGTGAGCTTGTCCTAGGCGCCCATTGTGATGTTTCAAAGTGCGCGCGACAGCTGCGTTTATATTGTAGTTGTGCCTTGTCACTTCCGGGTCCATGCTTGTTTCATTTGTTACTTCAGTTCTCCCACAATCACGGTTGCACGACTACTTTGATCGCCCTGAAATATAAGGGATCTCCGCTTGTTCCAAGTCAAACTATCCTAAAATGTGACCAGATTTATATACGTAATGATGCTAATATGCGGCATTTATAAGCATAACAATAGGAAAACTGAGTTTAATTTGTACATCGCACCGAGACACGGGATATAATAACATGAGAGGAATCAGTACCGAAATGATCTTATACAGTGCTCAATCCATCCCAAATTATAAGACGTTTGACTTTTTTACACTAAGTTTGACCACTCGTCTTATTCAAAAATTTGTGTAAAATATCACTTCTTTCGTCGTGGTTTGGTTTATTAATAAAATTTCTTCAAGAATGACTTAAATTTGACTATATTTACATAAATTTTTTGAATAAGACGAGTGGTCAAATTTGAGGCAAAAAAGTCAAACGTTTTACAATTTAGGATGGAGGGAGTAGCTAGGAAGCAACAGCTTGGTATATTACACTGCTTATTAACACACTCAGACGACAAGCGCGCACGCGTACACACACTGACACACACACACATGAACGTGGACATCTCGATAGATGCATCATGCATGTATATATACTTATTAAGGAATTAATAAGGACTTAAGGTAAACCTTGGCCACCTTCGAATTGCTGGGAAGCCAAAGATTAGTACGTAGGACCAGAAGTGGCCGAAGACAAAAAGAATCGAGCCTAACACTCGGTCGCGTGGTGACAGTTGTCGACTTCTGCCAATTCCAATCATAGCAATGTCACCCAGAGAATTGATGCCTTCGGATTCCTTAAGGATCCTAGCTGCAAGAGCAATCATCAAGACAAAGACCGCAATTGCAATGGAGCGGGCAACTGGAAGCAGGACACCTCACAAACGCAGGCTCCTTCTTGAAGAGCCCCAGGCCAAACGCAGCCAGCAGGCTCCTTCCAGAATGCCACATCAAGCCGTATGCAAGATTAATGAGTTGGAAGCGTCCCTGTAGGCTCCCAGCAGGCACCCCGGCATAGAGCAGGATGGAGGTAGCCAAGAGAGAGAGGCCAAACGCCAGGGCGTCGGCGAGGATAAACGCATCAAAAGCGTAGCTCCTCCGGGGCCCGCCAAGCACCGGTGTGCCGGCGACACCACCACCAGTGCCGTCGCCGGCTGATCGGCTGCCTCCGGGCAACGTAAAAGCTGATGCAAATGTCACGGTTGTAATGAGAACGCAGAAAAGGGCTAGAACTTGTGCTGCAGCTGTTAGATTCTCCGACATCTTCTTCTCCTCGTCTTGGTTGGAGAGGACGCATTTTTTGCGGAACAGGTCGCCCCGATTATTTTCACCATAGGGAGCTCCTAATCGTAACAGTGATCTTCGTATCCTTATTCTTCGATCCTGCAAAACAGAAAATAACAAAACAAACAAATAAATGGCCATGCATGCATCAGAAGGCAGAGTCGCAAGACAGATAATAAGGATGAGCTAAATTAACAATCATTGCTATTAACAGATATAATTAAATTACTTACCCATGCGTAATAGGCCTCTAGTGGCATGGTGGCCCATGAAACATCAATAGGCCTCATGCCCACATTATTGGGTACATCCAAGCGCACCTGCTGGTTCCCAATAAGGCATCGGACGACTGGAAGCTGGGCACCATGGACAGCGCGGTGCAGTGGAGTGTCCCCGTTCATGTCCTGAGCATTCAGGATCGAGGACAGGAGACCTGCTAGCCTTGCAGTTGCAGCTGCAGCTGCAGCTGAACCCGGACGGGCACGGCGGCTCTGCCTCTGCTTCTGGCTCTGGCTGCACACATAGCTGACCACGTTGTAGCGACCCTCCTCTGCAGCGACGTGGAGGAGCGTCCTTCCCTCGGCATCCCGCAGGGTGGCGCAGTCTGGGCACCTCTTCAGCAGCATCTCCACGACGCGGAGGCTGCCACTCCCTGCAGCGACGTGTATAGGGTACAGACCTGTGTTGTCCGGCTGATATGCCATGGCCACGTTAGCATTCAGCACGAGGGATAGCATAAGCGGGAGTATCTGCGAGTAGCGGCTCCCGCCTAAAACTAGCCGAGCCACCACCTTGTGGACACTCACGCTTGCTGCATCCGTGCCCAATAATGGCCAAAGCGGTGTGGTCCCTGGCGGTGGCGGCAGAAGTTGGGGAGGAAAAATTAGCAGTGACGACGGCAAGCCATCCAGGGATGCAGCCAAGTGAAGAGGTGTGCTCCCGTTCTCCTTGTCCCTCTGGCTGGCCAGCTGCGAGAGTAGCAGCAGACCAGGTGCTGTTTCCATTTCACTCGTCAGCAGCTGCGAGAGTAGAACAACTGTTTTCACGCTAGCACGTGAAACAGCCGCGTGCAAGACGTTCCGTCCATCTGGTCCGGAGCAGTAGTAGGATAGCTCGCTTCTGATGCTACGCCTTGTTTTAACGAAGAGATGGCGTGCGATATCCATTTCATCATGCTCACCCCATAATGAAACGGCCAGGAAGAACGGGGAGCAAGCAGCAGCATCCTCCTCCCGGGCCCGGCTACTGCTGCACGCCAGCTCCGGATCCACGGAAAGTAATTTGTCGATGGCGGCCTTGCTGGCGGCGCGGACCGCCTGGTGCAGCGCGGTCTCCCCACACCTATTCTTCCTTCTCAGGAACTTCTTCACGTCGGCGGCGGTTGGCTTCGGTCAGCAGATCGACGAGGCAAGACATCATGTTGACGTTCCCAGCACCGGCGGCGCAGTGCAGGGGCGTGTCGCCCTTGTTGTTGCGCGCTTCCAGAGCTCGGCGCTTGCCACCAGCACCGCCGCCGCCTTTGTGCCCGTAGTAGTCGCGGACGATCATCTTGGCGCAGTCGATGAAGTCCTCGCCGTCGCCGCATGCTGCAACCACGTGCAGCAGGGAGTCCCCCTCTATGGTCGTCATCTCATCCTCATCAAGGACTACCGGGACTAGCGGCGCGCCCGAATGACGATCAACTTCCACATCTATAGAGACTTGTTCTGCCACCGCCGCTACAGATGTGGCCGCGGCATTCCGTGTGGCTTGCTCGCCCTCGACGACGTCGTCGTCCTTGAGCTCGAGCAGATCCTTGAGACGCTTGCTGTCACCACAGCGAGCAGCCATGAACAGCTGCGGATCGAGTGTGGCCCGCGGGCAGGAAGGTGGGGGGGTTGGTGTTGGCTTTGGCTTTGGCTCACGAGCAGCCGCCTGCTCGCTTTCGCTAGGGGGGGATGCCACCGCGGCCATTGTCCTACTACTGTAAAACCGATGCTGCTTGCTTAATTTACAGTAGGAGAGGTAGTTTGTTTGCTATGGCCGGGTTCTGGCCTTCTGGGTGGTATATATAGTCGTCCAGGTCCATGCATCCATATCGCTGCAAGACAGTAATATTCTTTGGCGGCCAACAGCACGCAAAGGCATATGCATTATGCATGCATGCATGGCAAAGAGAAATTAATCACACTAGTAGAGAAACGACTTTTAATCCACTTTAAAATTTGGTTTTAGTCCCGGTATTTTTTGCGCTCGGGACTAGAGAAACCTTTAGTCCCGATTGGTATCTTCAATCGGGACTAAAGGTCCTCTATAACAACATCTGCGGCCGCAACGCGATGGAGAGATTTTAGTCCGGTTGGAGACACCAACCGGGACTAAAGGTGGACTTTACTCCGGTTGGAGCCACCAACCGGGACTAAGAGTCCTCTAAGTTTTAGTGCATTTATTACCGTGCTTTATGAGCTGATGATTAGCACTGAACTTTTAGTCCCGGTGCTTTACTTGTACCTGCTTGCATTTACGAGTGATGACCAAAGACATCGAACTTTTAGTCCCGGTGCTTTACTTATACCGCTTGCATTTACGAGATTTAGTCCGGCTTGCATTTACCGCTTGCATTTACGAGCTTTAGTCCCGGCTTGCATTTACTCGCTTGCATTTATTGTCGACATCGAAACGAAGACCTTTAGTCCCGGGTGGTATTATGAGCGGGACTAAAGGTATCTCTTTAGTACCTTTAGTCCCGATTGGTATTATCAGGGACTAAAGGTCTTTAGTCCCAAGCGTTTGAGGAGCCTCGATGGTCGGGCGAGACATAATATGCTGGAATTGCTGGCGGCCCCACCTATTAGCACCATCTCGCTTGCTCAAGAGTGAAAGCTAACTTAAAAGCTCGACTCTCGAACCAAGCGAGACGAACTTGAACAGGATTGTACCGGCGATCCTTGACTAAAGGTCCTTCGTACTATAGTTTATATAAAATGTTGAACATTATAAACGTACGTATATTCTAGCAGCGTAGAATGCGTATTCAAAAACCAAAACGAATCATCAATTAAAAATAAGAAAAAAAGGAAAATAGAAATAGAAACAAAAAAACCTGGTAGCAGCGTGAAAATAGAAAAAAAAGAAAATAGAAATAGAAACAAAAAAAAGAAAAAAAACCTTTAGTCCCGATTAGGGTTACCAACCGGGACTAAAGGGTGCCGGCCTCGTGGCATGTCAGGAGGCACCTTTAGTCCCGGTTGGTGTTACCCACCGGGACTAAAGGTCCCCTTTAGTCCTGGTTCCTGACCCGGGACTAAAGGACCCTCTTTAGTCCCGGATGCTTGCTCCCGGGTGGGAAATCGGGATTAAAGGGGGTTCCCACCGAAAGTAAAGCCCGTCTCTGTACCAGTGTCAAAGCAGGTTCAAAGGTGCACGTGCGGAGAGATCGCGATTTTGCATTGGTTTGCGGTGACAAGGACAAGTCCAACGATTTTATTTGTGCTGGCCACGCACTAGCCAAGAATTATTACGGCATATACAGTGGTTATTATATTCGCTTCAGCCATGTTTATCAGCCATGATACAGTGTTTTTCTTTCACAACAAAACAGCATCAGCCGACTTATAGGCCACAGAAACGATCAAACAAACAGGGTGATAAACAGCAGCATTTTACAAGCTTTTGGCCATCCGAGTTCAAAAAATGTCAATTCTTTTTTCTTTTTTTTTTGCAACGATCCATAGATAAAAAAAAGAACATACCAAAACCCTAGCTCCTTTCGACTATATATATATATATATATATATATAAATTCTTGACTCTTGAGCACATTTTGTTTCTTGGGTGTTAATTCATTCATGACTTTCCACTCATTGTATGGATATATATATGGTGCCTAACCTGATAACCATGCTATTTACGGGTACTTCTCAACATTTAAAATACTACAAAAAAAAACTAAATAAAATATTTTAAATTTCGTCTTTTCACTCAACCTCTGTGTTCGAATGAACCAGTATATATATCCAGCAGATAAAGGATGGACTTGTCCTAGCGACGGATTCCCCCGATTTTTTTGTTAGCTGTTTTCAAGTTTCAACACTCCAAACTACAAATCCAAAGAACAATATTCTTTTGATCTTTTCTTCAGGCAACAAGCAAAGATGGCAAGGAAAACTTTTAAAAGGGTACACGTATTAACGTGGCGCCTCCCTTGGGGGATCTCTAATTAGTAATTATAAAAACGATAAAGGTGGATATTTTATAAAATTGTTAGTATATATTTAAATTTTTTTCATAATGGTAGATGTGGGTCATTTAGATACAAAGTTAGAGGATTATTTCAAGACAAAAATCGGGGTAATTTAGACGCAATGTTAGGGGTTATTTTAAATTATGTTTTATAATGGTCAAGGTGGGTAATTTAGATGCAAATTTAGGGGTTAGTTTGAATTACTTTTTATAATGGTTGATGTGGGTAATAATTTATATACAAATATAGGGTTATTTTGATTTATGCTTTGTAATGGCAGAGGTGAGTAATTTAAATTTGGGGTACTTTATGTATTTTTCATAATGGTAGTGGTGGGTAATTTTTAATAAACTATGTAGATCTAATGGCTAGTATCATTGACGATGATTAGAGTCTATCAAATCAAAGACCGGTATTTACCCTCTCCCACGCTGAATCTGACGTCAAGGCCCCAACCGCCGCCGCCCTCGACCCCCTTTCGCCCCTCCTCTCTCCTAACTAAAGGTGATCTCATCGGTGGGACGGAGGAGTGGGACCGATCTCTTTCCCCTTCATAGTTCTTGGTTAGGTTTGTGGACCATTGTTGATCTAGGTTTTAGTTTCTCGTGTCATTGTCGAGGTGGTGGTGGTGATGATTGCTTGCAATAATCTCTCTGGCTTCTCCTTGATGATGTTTGATCTAGCATCGGTGAAGGGCTAGTGAGAGTTTGGTTTGTCAGATCTATTCTTCTTCTTCAGATCTTGGCTTGTTGTGTGCTTATCAGTGGAAGCAGTTGGTTGGCTTTCTATATGGCGATTTCGATCTCTTCTTTTGATATGTTCTACAGCAAGGTCCGGCATCTTCAACACGCTGTTTCTGATGGTGAAGGATTGTAAGCCCACGTCCTTTGGAGGTTTCCTTCAGCCGATGTTGTTTAAGTGGGTACTAGATCTCGTTATATGTGGTGGGTGGCTTTTTCGGTCTTCTAGGCCTTGTTTGACGAGGGTGTTTGCGGTGTCCTTTTTCTTTCTTTGTCTTCGCGTCTGATCGATCTTGAACGCTTTCGGTAGGCGTGGACGTTCGAAGGAAGAAGACGATCGATTTGGTTTTTGATGCACTCTTATTTTTAGAGGTTGTTTTGTGTCTTTTTGTCCATCTTTTATATCAGACTTTGTTTTCCTTGAGATTTACTAGATGTGACACTCGTTTGAGTGTCTTCATTAAAAAAAAAATCAAAGGCTAGATATTTCTGATTATTGTGAGAATTTCTAGGATTTATCTTTTTTCCTAGCGCGTCTGGTGAGAATTCACGTGGTGCATCCACTGGGGCTTCTAATTAATAGATTATTGCGAGAACTTTTAGGATTTATCTTTTTTCATAGCGCGTCTGGTGAGAATTAACGTAATTTCTCCGTTGGGACATCTAATTAGTAATAGTAAGATAAGATATCCAGCAGGTAAAGGATGGACGTACTATCCTAGCGACCAATTTCCCTTTTCTTAGCTGTTTTCAAGTTTCAACACTCCAACTATAAATCCAAAAGAATAATATTCTTTCCCTCAGGCAACAAGCAAAGATGACATGCAAGGAAGACTTTAACTAAAAAGGGTACACGTATCCATTACACATGGTACAAAGGTGTATCATCGCTGAATGTCATACTATACCGTAAACTCCATGCTAATGAAATTGATGTTTACTGCTGCTGTTACCACTACTCACATCCACTATTGTCCCCTCTTTTCACTTAATTAATACACTTACGGTTGTTAGGGACATTTAATTTCCTACGATTATATACTCCATGCATGCATGTGTAGGTTTGATTATCGTCTTACACTTCCTTGTACACGAGCACAACGAATGAACCATCAATATTTCTGCCGCAAAGCAAATTAAACTCAACGACACTTATAGGGTGTTGGCTTTGAGAAACCACCACACATATATATTTGATAAGTTGGTGCATCATGAGCCCTGCCAGGCTGCCATATCCTTTAAATTTAATAGAATGGCCTATTCCTCTAGCTCACATTAATTATTAGCGTGTAGGGAATATAGTGATAATGGGTCAACTCATTTTCTTGGCATGCTCGAATATTTTTTTTTGTTTAAGTTGGAATAGTTTTCTTGTGATGTAATATGTTGGAATATTTTTATATTGATTGACAACGTAGAATATTTTCTATTTAAATCGGAACATCTTTTTAATGAAACTGAACATTTTTTTTTTGTGTGTGTGGGCGCAACTTCATTATTTAAGGTGGCATATTTCTTTTTGTAAAGATGGAACTATTTTTTTGTGAATTTTTGGGGTCAAAGGCGGACCATTTGTGCCATAATGAATCGAAATACCATTTTAAGCTACAATTTACAAATGTTAAATGGAAACCACTGAGTTGGAAAAAGGAGCAATATTTAAACTTTGAGTTGCTTTCAATTGTAACAAGCTAGTCATACTGTTGTGAACTAAGTATATTTCAATCGTTATTAGGTTCCTTGTATTGTATGGTACAACATGCCCAACAGGATATGAGGCTCCATTTCATAACACCGGCAGAACATTAGTACTAGCGGATCTAAATCTATTTTCACTGGCGTTTTTACCAACCGTTAGTGTAAAAAGGTTAGTAAAAATCGCAAACTTCACATGCATCTTCTAGAGAACCGCCACTATAAATGATTTTTTGAAATTGCAAATCGGGCTAAAAAATAGCAAAAAAGGATGCTTATAAAGGATGCTTGTGTCTCCGACTATATTTTGTTTTATGGTAGATGACATGCCATTTAAATGAGAGATGCTTGTGACGATTTCGGCAATTTCAGATGTTCCATCCCACCCTTGTCTCTTGAAGGTTCCTACGTGTATATCAGCGTCTACCTTGTTTCGTAAAAGAAGTCAGCCGTCTCCTATTATTTTACACATCCTAATTTAAGCTGTTATTTCTGTATTTTGATTGTTTGGTTGAATTATTTTGAGCCGAAGTAGGTCATTTCTTAATTCTTTTTTTTGGGGGAAATATAAATTTCCATTACTCGAACCGAGCTGAATCATCAGCAATTACAGATTGAATGTGACACGGGATGGGAAGGAAGGAACTTCAAATTTTGTTCTTGGAAATGGAGGAAACAAATGGAATGGAAGGGTGACGAAAGAAGGGCCATGGCCCGATGTTAGTCTATAACCTCATGGTGGGCCGGTACCGTGAACATGTTCGTCATACGGGCCAGACCGCCGGACGGCCCAGGATGCATCAGTCAGTGCGAACACAGACTTCGGCCCAGCCGAGGCGTCCCCGACCTCACCGTCACCGCGCCGTCTCTCCCCTTCACTTCTCCTGTACGTCGGCGGCGCGCCCCACCTGGGCGCCGGCGAAGGGCGGCAACGAGCAGGGTGGCACTCGCATATTCGGCCCCTCGCAGAAGTACCCCTCCCGCGACCTCGCCGCGCATACCTCCCTCAAGCCCAGGTCCGCACCCATCCCTTCTATCTATCTATCTCTCCGCCGATCGATTCGTGTACTCAAATCATCCTCGCCGCCTGGGGTTGCCCCCTGTCCGGAGATCTCATGGCCGCTGTTTCTTCTCTGTTACCGCCCTACCTAATTTTAAGCGTAGCTCCGCGACACGAGGATCCATTGGGGGGAAAAAAGGGGTCTGTCTGTTCCTTGGCAGGATTTTCGATTCAATTTGGGAGACTCCATGATTAGAGCACCTGCCGTCAGACGATCCTAGCGTGAGAGGGTCCACGTTAGGATGTGGCCTTTCTTTTGTCCTAGGCAGGCGCCCAACCCTACCCTTAAGAAGTTTGTGCTTGCCACGCCAATTGTACGGCACAGACTGCTTAATCTCTATTGTTTAGCCTGTTATTTATTACTGCTACTTAAATAATTGAATCACAATGAGTGCCTACATTGATGTTTCCCAATCAATTTGTGTCAAGTGCTGAAGAGTATGTTGAAATATTAAGATGGGTGGTATAGTTTTCATTTCTTCCAGCATCAGTTTCCTTTTACGCTTATTTCAGAGTTGCTTTATGAGTTATATTATAGGAAGAACTGCTTCAGTAGGTGGATGAAGGTGCTTTTGCTCCATCTCTGACGATCATTATGACAGCAATGATGAATTTGGATTACAAATGCAAACCGAAAAGGGGCAGCTACAGTGTATTTTTTAAAAAAAAACTTTGGAGAGGCGCTAATTATGTCAATGTCAACTTACACATTTATAAATCCAAATCACTGCCTTTGCTTAGTTAAGTCAAAGAAAATTTCAGCACCACCAACTTATTGCTTAGAAAGATGTGTATGTTCCCTGTTGGTATTTGGGAATTACAGCTAGCCCGATCAGAAATGGCTAAGATATTGCTTATAATTATATTATATCACTGTCTGTCTATGTCAAAACCAGGAATTAAGATTGGCTGGATATTTTCGCTGCCAATATGTCAGGCTGTTTGTCCCTCCATGACTCACTATTTCTGCCATGTGTACAGGAAAGACGGCCAACAGACCCAAGAGGAGTTACAGAAGAGGAACCCCAGGGAGGAACTTGAGGAACGTGAGCGCAAGCACTACTCTTCCAAGGACAAGTCCTATGCTGGTATACCTACTTTCTCTGTTTCGTTCTTTTGTCTTCCCCTTTAGGATAAGTCCAAGGATAAATTTGTTACTGGGATGTACAATCAGTAACAATGCATCTTCTTGCTTGCAGAAGAAAGAGACCGTCGGAAAAGTTCAAGTCAGCTACTCTTAGAAGGTCCGTGGAATGAACTCTGCATCAATAATCTGTTTATGTTGTTGCCTAGTGATGGCTTATTCCTTTCCTGCTGTAACTTGTAGGTTCAAAGAGAGAAGCAGAGGATAAGATAGTTCCACGAGAAATCGATGCAGATGACCCTGATGTGGAGCCTAAAAGTGATGATGAAAGGTCTGTATCGTTGCCCTTCTCAGTGATGAGTGGTTTACAAACCTTGCCCTCGCGAATTGCTGCTGGGATTCTTCTTATGTTAGGAGGCTCGACTTGCCTTGCAACTGCGTTAACTAATTTGTAGAATGGTTCTGAACTTATTTTCTGTCACAATCAGTAAAACTTTGTATAGCCATAAGGCTACGCACATGTGGAGTGGTCGATATTTCCCATTATTGTGCATTGCCTACAATTAGTAGCACATTTAGTTTCCTGTGATAAGACCTTCACTTCAAATGGGCGAAGAAAACAAGGGAGCATCTTTCGTGACATTGTTTATAGGACGAATATCTTATTTTGGCTTGTGTTTTCGTGATTTAGTACACTTCTGCTTTGACTATGTTTGGTCTCTTACACATTGAGTGGCAAATTGTGTCCAGCGATGATGACGATGACGATGATGACACTGAAGCTCTAATGGCAGAGCTTGAGAGGATTAAGAGAGAGCTGAGGAGAAGCTCAGAAAGGTCTGTTACCTTTGCATCTCTATCATGAATCCTTGATTTCCAGCCTTCCAGCTGAGGAGCGGCAACAAGCAGATGAAGAGGCAAAGATGAAGGAAGCTGAACTGATGCGGGGGAACCCGTTGATCAACATCAACAATCCTGACTCCTTCAGTGTTAAGAGAAGGTAGGATTATGGTGTAGTCAGCTTGTGTTATATACACAGTGGCTTGTGGCGAGGCTGATCTGGTTGGGCATTTGTGGGTTGCAGGTGGGATGACGATGTGGTATTCAAGAACCAGGCACGAGGAGAGACCAAGACACCAAAACGGTTCATCAATGACACCATCAGGAGTGATTTCCACCGCAAGTTTCTGCAGAGGTACATGAAGTGATGCTACAGCCATGCTCCGCCCCCCTACTTGGTGGCCTTCTTCATTATCCATGTCCACCGTCTTCGGTTCCTTGAGCCATCCCAGAACCATAGGAAGCTCTGCATCATGCACGCAGTTATACTAAGTCAAACACAAGTTTATACAACAGAATAATGAACAATAGTAACTAATATTTATGGTATGAGATGAACATCATTGGATACATGACTACAACTCATGCTCTAGCACGACCTATAGAATATAACATTATGGTTTTTAGCTTTTGTTCTTATTATTAGTTCTTGTGATTTTTTTATCCATGCCTTAAGTTCAAACCCTATCATTTATTATATCTTTTATTAAACAAATAGATTAGAGGTCATAGACTCCACTCTTAATTACTACACTGGCCTATACAATCATTTTAATCTACACAACCATACTCAACATGCTAAATTTCTCAATCAAAGTATTATAATTGTGCTAGTATTGTTCCATATATAAAACGGAGTGGTTCAACTACACATATTAATATGTTTCACTCAAAATGTATAAATTTATCTAAATTAAAAACTTAAATAAATTATTGTCATTGAGTTTTGATATAATTATGGCCATAAATTTATGGGTTATTTTATGTATTTTCCATAATGTCATATGTGCGTGTTTTTAAAGAAAACAAGTCCAATTAGTATTATTGGTAATGATGGTTAGAGTTTACCAAATTAAAAATCATTATATGTTTCTGATTATTGTGAGAATTTTCTAAGACTTATTCTTTTTCCTAGCTACTGCGTCTAGGAAAAAAACAATTTCAGAGGTAGGCCTTTTCCATTTGTAGAGGCAAATGGCCTGATATCCTTCTTCGAAATGGCCATTCTTAATGACCCATTTACAAAGGCAGTCGGTCGGCCGCTTCTGTAAACTGAATAACTAAGATTGACATCTTAACCCGTCCACCTCTATAAATAGCATTTACACATACAGATGCATCAGTTGCTCAAAAAAAAAAAAAAAAAGAGAGGATACAGATGCATCAAGATGACCATCTCTGTTAATATTTTTTATAGAAAAAACCAAAAAAATAGCAAAGCATTTTTAAATGACTTGCGACCACCTCTCTTTAGGAAGTATATTTTAAATAGATTACCTCTTTGATGTTGTAAATTAAACTATATATAATACTCTTCTATTTATGAACTTAGTTAAACTTAGGATAATTTGACTTATAGCAAATTAAAATCCATATTTAGCTAGTAATGTTCACAATGCATGCAGCAAGGTGTAATATATATATATATACACACTGTAATAATAATAGCCTTAGCTTAAGTACAGTAGTATTTTACCTTGATGCTGCAGAGAAACAGTTGTGTGCAAGACGTTTCGTCAGTATGGTCCCGGAGTATATCTGGGCACAAAGCCCGAGCCCGTGAGCCAGACGAGCCCGCTCTTTAGGCCCGGCCCAAGCTCTGCCCGGCACGAAGGTTAATGGGCCTGGTCTGCACGCAAGACGGGGTGCAGCCGTGCTTGGGCGAAACCCTAGGCCCATTGTGTCAAGATTTGCACTGACCGCAGCAGCAGCAAGGTGCCAGCGTGCCCAAGAACCTCTCCTGGCCTCCTCGGCTCCTCCCCACGGCTCCCCATATAACCGAGACCCCCCCTCCCCGGCCCCTAACCCTAACCCCATTCGCCTCGCCTCCCAACCGCATGATCCGCAGCCCACCGCACTCGACACCCTAACCCTAATCCCATTCGCCTCCCGCACGCAGCCAAGACTCGACACCCGCTTTCGGTCCATCTTCGCCTCCTCTCGTCGATCCATCTTAAATGCACGGCGGTGCGACCGTCGTCCTTGATCCGGTGATATCGCCGCCGCTCCATCACCCTAACCCTAACCCCATTCGCTTCGCCTCCCAACCGCGCAGCCAGCACCAAGACTCGACACCCTAACCCTAATCCCATTCGCCTCCCAACCGCGCACCAAGACTCGACACCCTTCGGTCCATCTTCGCCTCCCTCTCGTCGATCCATCTTCGTCGGGCATGACCGTCGTCCCTGATCCGGTGATATCGCCGCCGCTCCATCACCTCTCCCGGCTCTCCCCGAGTTCCCTGCTCCCTCGGTCCATCTTCGTCTTCCTTTTTACTCCTTCTCCTCTGTTTGTCGATGAACATGTGAGTCCGCCTCCCGTCTCTCTCTTGCACCGTCGCTCGCCGTCCTTCTTAATCCCGTCTTGCCCTTGTGTGGCTCCCTCGTCTTCTCCGTGGCCGGGCTCGGTTGCTCGAGCAAGTCCATCCCCATTCGTAACCCTAACCCCAGCCCCTAGATCTATACGTTTCTCGTTGTTTTGATTCTGTTTTTGGGATCAATTTCTCATCCGGCTCCGGTTATGCGAGCAAGTCCATCCCCATTCGTAACCCTAACCCTAGCCCCTAGATCTCGTTTCTCGGTGTTTTGATTACATTTTTTGGGATCATTTTCTCATCCTTTTCTTCTTTGCGTGTTCTTTTTCTTTGCAGTGTCATTGCAGATGCCTCGTCGTCAACTAGCCTTGGCGTAGACAGACGACGGCACGGCACCGCTGGTTAAGCAGTAAGTCAGCCGCACCGTTGAGGAACAGTCTTTGGAGTTCACCGTCCATGGCCGAGGGCCCCATGGCGTGTGACTCATGAGGCGACGGTGCCATGTTCCTGTGATTGGCGGCGATGACTTGGTCGTGGCCGGGTTGTCCCGAGCACGACGACGACGGCCGTGACCCCTTTGCGGTGTTTGATGACGCCACCCGCGGGGACAATGCCGCGATCGACGTCGATGCCGTCGATGCACGAGGCAACGGGACGGGGGACGGTGGACTCCAACACCCACTCCAACTACACTTGGTGTTAATGGTAATGCCGATGGTAATGGTACTCGTATTCTTCCTCCTCTGGTCTTTGTTTCGGACTTGGTAAGCGCAAGTCTCAAGTCTTTGGGTGACTTTGAGGAGGTTTATGAGAAGATTAATGGTGTCGATGTGCGTGTTAGAGCTATATGTAAGATGTGTAGAAGCTGTGTTGAGTGCTAGATCTCTCGCTGGTAATTGGTCACATTCTTAGGCACCAAAATCTTGCAAATGAAACTTGATAATGCTTCTAGGGTTCGGTCTCGACTAGCTTTTAATCTTTGATGGGTCTTTGCATAATTGGAACTATGATCCTCTTTGTTGCTAGAACTGAAGCGTGTGTAGATTGATTGCTAGGCTTGATCTTCCTCTTGGTTTTGGTGACACTTGATGCATTTGAGGAATATATTAAAATTCTCATAACCCAAGATTTGTTAGATCATCTAGAAGAACCACCACTAGAGATCTCGGATAAGTTATTTCTTTGAACGTCGTGCTATGATTAGGAAGCGTGTGCATGCTTTCGCATCTGTTGCTTTGACTTCGACATATGGTGCGGTAATGCTAAAGAGGATTACATATCTGTTGTTGCTCACTATGTGAATGCTTGATTGGGAATTGTAAAAGAAGATTGTTGGTCTTAGGTTGATTCAAGTTAAGCATTACGGTGAAAACATTTTCGCTTCCATTGCATCTGTTGTTGAGGAGTATGGCTTGGTTGATAAAATCTTTTCTATCACTTTAGATAATGCATCTTCTAATGCTAAGGCTATGGAAACTTTGACACCCATGTTTGCTAGTTATCTTGGTTGTGATCACGCTTTTGATGATCCCGCTTTTGTTACGATCTTGTACATCAGCATTTGTGCTTGTCACATTATTAATCGATAGTCAAATCTGGACTAAAAAGAATCAAACCTTATATAGAGGATTTTAGAAGCGCAATTAATTTCTTGAACTCCTCTAATCAAAGAATTGCTATGTTTAGAAACTCATTGTGAAGCTAAAGGTATGAGACCTAGAAAATTTGGCTTAGACATGGATGTTAGATGGAATGCTACTTATCTCATGCTAAAACACTTGGTTCCTTACAAATTGAAGTATTTTTCGTGTTCATAAATTCAAATTATGGTTTCAAGATTGTTGTCTCCACCCATTGGCACGTGGTCGGGAAAATATTGGAGTTCGGAAGTATTTTATGACTCTCTTGTTATAATCGTCTCTGGTGTTTATTATCCTACCAGATCCTCTTGTCTTTGCACCATGTTCGAGATTGCAACTCATTTGCATGCATGTGAAAGAGATGTTAATCTTAGACCCTTTGTGTACCCTATGCAAACATAAATTTCTCAAGTATTGAAGGACATTCCTCTCTTATACTCATTTGCATTCATTCTTGACCCTAGAGCTAAGTTGAGAGGTATGCAAAGGGTCCTCCATTTACTTCTTGAATATCTTTGGTCTTGATTACACTACTTACTATGCTGATTTGAAAACCGAGTTGCATAAAATGTTTGAGAAATATTTGAGAAAGTTTGGTGCAACTTGGTCACAAAGGGTTCTTGGTCCTACCCCACCCTTTGGTAAGAGAAAAGCAGGCTTGGGGGTAATTTTTGGAGGATCAGTGTGCTGGTCCTTCCAAAGGGCTATTATGGCGGAGATATCATGTCAGTTCCTGTTTCCACTTGTTCTTGAGTCTTGTTTGACTTAGCGTGGAGGATCCTAGAAGAATGGCTTAGGAGCTTGAAACCGAGAACATGTTGAGATCTTGACCTTGTTGAAGAATTTGGGAGCTAGGAGAGAAGAGGGAACAACATGAAGCTGCTGATACCAAGGAAATTGAAGATGCATTCGAGAATCTGTTCCTGGATGAACCAGAAGGTGAAGATGATGGATCTGGTGGCTGACAGTGGCATTGGTTGGCTGGGAGTGTTGGAGTACTTTTGTGTGAGTTGAGAGTGGATGTGTCCCTCACTCACTTGCTTAGTTTTCATTTGAACCTTTGAACAATGGTCTGTAATAACTATGTAAGATTAAGACATTTGAGTCATTTGCACTCTTTTTTTCTGCCTAGGGTTTCTCACAAGGGTGAGTTTTACCTAGGTAGGTTTTTAATGAGGCAACATTGCACAAAATG